CATACTCTTGCTCGTCTATTCTAGCTACCAGGAGCGTAACTATTACGTGCTTTCGTGGGCTTGAGACCCCCCCCCCCCCTCACAATGCTGACGTAAGCCTTTCCCTAGTAGTTTACTTACATTAAAATGAACGAAAAACATATTGCAACTAGCAACATCATCACATCATTGACATTCATTTCTCCCGCAACGACCCCAATTGATAATGACAGCAATTTCGCGAAGAAAAGCCTTTACAAGATCCAAAATTTACGCGCAGTTAAAGGGCGAATTTTTCGCTTGCGAAGCGACGCCCCCAATGCTTTTCTGAGCCTCTTGGTGCATATAAACAAAAAGAAAATAGTAGGCCAATGAAATGCAGAGCAGTTCTCTTCAAGGGGTGTTCCACATTCGTAAGGGGATTTTGAACTGAAATAGCCACCTTGAAGATCGTTCAATGCAGTGAGCAACCCTGCCCACATTAAGACCTAAACGCTTGTAGTTTTTGAACCACAACCCCGCGGAGACGTGCAAACTTTTCGGGGAGATCATTTTAAGGCCATTCAGGCATCCATAAATGCCATTGAAATCTTGTCATTCCGTTGGCCATGAGGTGATCAAGACCAATACAAATCTACTGATTGTCCAGTGGTTCATATCTGGCGGTCGTGAGCGCGATTATTGGATATGACAGCCGTCAGTTGACTCTCAAGCAAAGTTATGCTGGGTACGATGACGTAATCAAACAATGACGTATTGAGGAGCATATTTACTAAGCAGAGGAAATGTGTTGTCTAGAGCAACCTTTCCCACTCAAACGTATACCAATAGTTATAAATGGCTTATTTAATCATATCTGATGCCTGCTTCATTGTCTTGCAATTTGCAGCATTCCATTTAACGATTGGTACACAATGTATCTAGAAATATCCTTATTAGGGTCATGTTCATTTTGTACCAAACAATATAGTGCACACAACTAATGCTTTGGCCATGCCAACCGCTTCATATATTAGGATAGCTCACACATATTTCACAAGTTCTTACAAGGTAAAGCCTAAACTAGGTTAATGAACAAGTGACTGCATCATGCGGTAACTTTTAAAAGTGCAGAGGTTAGCTCCTGTCTTCCTCAGCCAACCAATCATTCCACGATTCACGCTGAATGCATTTTAAATACTAGGTATATAAACTTGCAGCCGGCATATTACCATACTCCCCATGAGATTCTAAGCATTCCGCTCCCTGGTTAAATTCACCTACCTTCCCTCCACCCTCCCCCACAGTTTGTTCATTATCGTTACGAAGACCGCCGGTGTCCCGGCCGCCTGAGCTCTGCAACAATCCTTGTCCAAGCGTTTGCAATTTCCGCTCCGGCTTCTTTTGTTTCCGGCTTCTTTTGTTTCCGGCTTCTTTGGTCTCCGGCTTCTCCGGCTGGTTGGCCGCATATGCTTGCAGAGCACATATTCACATTCAATGTTAAATTCTGGGCGATTGGATTGCTGGTAGAATGCAACTGTCGCTAACAGGTCGTTCATTACCAATTCAAAGAGCGGCCGATCTTTGGACCGTCCGACCCCTTATAATCATCGTGCGTCCGTTTTCACGTCTCATACCGCCGCATATTATATGCTGCGGTTTAAGCTTGCGAGCCACATCATGACACTCGACATCAACTTTTACGTAATCGATTCCCTTTCCACCACCATCAGTCACCTCCGCCAACAGCCTGTTCATGACCTGTACGAGTATTTCCGCTGTTTCTGCTGTCCCGCTGCGATACGCCCCACGGCTAGCAGCGGCGCCGCATTTAAGTCTCGGCACCAGTGACGTCACCACCCTGCAGAGAGCGGATGGAAATCCGACCACACATATCGAGTGAATAAAAGTTTGCAACGGTTGCGATAAGAGGGCTCAAGAAATGAATTCAGGTTATTCGGCGAAGCCCACTGTGAGCGCACACAAGCGCTCCCGCTGGTTTCACGGAATGTTTTCTTTGGTTGTCATTGCAGAGTCTGACAACACAGCAACGTTGCAACAGATTGAACAGTGGCAACGATGAAAGAAGGGATATCTGGAATTTTCAGCGGCAGCTGGAATGGTCTGCTTGGGGTCTTTAGAATGCGTGACAATACTCCAACCGAGCGCAAGCTTAGAAAGCTAGACAGCTGCTGATTTTATCGTCATAAGCAAATCGTAGGATACTTACAGCAGAATGCCTCAAATGATGCTCTTTGATCTTTCTTCCACTGCTTTGGCATGCCTCATGAACTTCGACGCATGACTACATGCCAGAAAATCTGTAAGCGCTGTTGCAACGTTTGCAACGATTGCTTCTTAAAGCAAACATGGTGAAATTCTTTCACCCCATGTTGCTGCAAGAAAAAACTGGCTTACAAATGAAGCTTGTTTTCCATGACCAACACACGTCCCTGGCGAAAAGCACACTACACCCGGTTTCAGTCAGGCAACTCGGCAGCCAGGCGTCATATAAGGCAGGAAACCCTATGAATGATGTTGAGTGCATATACAAATAACGCAAAACCACATGATCCCTAGAAAATGACAGGTCTTCGCATGCGATATTTAGGAGTCTGCTTGGTCGCTTAGCGAGGCAAGCTCATGTGTACCTGTGAGGACTGTTTTCTTTGGAGGCATGGGTGCGCGGAACCGTAATGCAATCTGGTGGTGGCGGCCGCAAGTTTTTTAAAGATTTAATCCGAACTTTTTGGGTACATGTATTTCTGGGACGAGCACCTACGCATCATGTTTCGGAAGCATGAATGCAGTGCATGTTTGCTGGGCCCTCACCAGCTCATGAAATTCTGAGCCAATGACAGAACTTTGCGGCGAAAGTTTAACATGCCGCAATGCTCGGCACGGTCCATCCTGCCCTCTGACGTCATCTGGCCGTTAACGAGGCCGCCGCCACCAGCCGCACGCTATACCAGTCATGGAGAAATAGCGAGCGCCTGTACCGACGCGAGCCCATTCCGCCAGAGGTCTGTGAATCGAAGGCAGGCGCACTATCCAGCTGAGCTATCGAGGGCCACACTTAAGGACAGTTCGTGACGGAGCAATGTAAAGAGCAGTTGGGCGATACGTCAATCACCTAGTTGTGCCACAAGGAGCATTTTGTGCGTTGTAAATGATTTTGCGAATGAATGGGACCATGAGCGCATCTCCAAAGCGATAAGTTTCTTCAACATAATCAATGTTTTATAACGTCGTTTGACCACTATCTCCCGGTATACTGAAGACTTAGTATTTTCAACGTGAGAGCTCCCAACCCATCACCCTGAAGCACCGGTATTCAAGGGCTCTTTTTCCGACGCCAACTTTCCACACGTGTCAAACCGTTGCCCACGCTTTTCCAAGACGACCACTCGGAAACCATTTGTTCAACAGCCCTTGCCAACTCTGTCCTTACAGCTATCGACATGTCTCTCGAGAGGGTCGTACAAGCGAGGCTCACTTTTGCTATGGTTGCATCGTGGAAGCGGACCCAAGAAGTTTCCCCACGCTCTGGTCCGTAGGTGTCAGTCCAAGCCAATGCAAAGTGAATTAACTTCTTGTGCCTCGGGCTGCCTTCTACGCTTGGTTCGATGGAAGGCCGTGCAAGCTCAGGCTTACTTTTACTATGGGTGCATCGAGAAGCGGACGCAAGACGCTCTGGTCCTTACCTGTCAGTCCAAGCCAGTCTAAACTGAATAAACTTTTTGTGCTTCGGGCTTCCTTCGATGCTTGATGAAAAACTTTTTTCGCTGATCACACGGGCTAGAAGTAGAAAAATATTTTTTTTCGGTGAATTGCACATCAGTTTAAGCGTTTCACAATAATACAGCTTCAGTTGGCCTTGAAATGAGCCATTCCTTCGTAGCAAAATAATTTTGAGATCAACGCAATATTTTGTGATGGGCTTTTAGTTTTAAAATCGGGGACATGAATTAACGTGGCCAAAATTAAGAAAAAATCAGGTCGTGAAGTTAGGTTAGGTCAACCCTATCGGCTCAGCCCCAACCGATTTTAGAAAGAGGCACCCCTGTCTGCCGCACTGCCTGAGAAACATTCATGATAACCAACACATCTTCTCCTGTCGTCTCATTAAATGGTGGTTTCCTTCACGGCGGAGCGATCGCAGTGAGGTCCGCTTTTTAACCAATTTAAATTTCCGCTAGACTCACTTTATGTTTCGTTTGTCAACTGGTGCAAACAAATGCCAAACTATAATTCATCTTGCTGTGCGGACGCGTTTTGACGACCGGTGTAAGGGATGAGTTTCCAGTTAATAGGCGTCTAGTTAACAAGGTGCCCCTCTGATCGATGCGTATCTTGCTCTCCGGCTGTGCTTCTGCTTCACCCCCTCCCCCCACCCCTTCCCAGCTTTCTCTTGTTTCCATGTTTCCAGCTCCATTGTGTTCCCTCGCTGCTTTTATGGCTGTCATTTGGGCGGTAGGCAGTGCTAGGCGTCCGCATCGGCAGTTATTACCCGTTGCTGCCTTTTCTGACCGATCTCGGTCGGCTCTGTTAGGAAAACCGGTGTCGGTGCCGCTTAAGGCTTCGTTGGCTGTCGGATGTTGGCTGTCTAGCGGCGCAGGCATCCATAGGTGGCGGCGGTGACACGACTTGTGCGCTTTCGACACACGGCTGCTGACGTGTCACCGGATCATGATTGGTACCGATGTTTCCGCACGGATACCTTTCAAGATGGTGCATTTTTGGATGGTGTATTGTCCAACTGGCTGACATTGTGGTGTTGAACCGCCAGATCACTTGCCGTGCTCTTGCCAAAGGAAGCATTAGTTCGTATGTCTACATTTTCGTTGCATTAAAGCGTGTTCCGGTCCATCGCTACGACTTTACGACCTCGCCGCCGCTACACGCTGGACCGCCCTGTCTGTGTCGGCAGCAGCGCCGATGGTCCAGGACCTGGTCCAGCTCGACATCGCCAGTCTGCGACCAGTGCGCGACTTGACTCTCGCCTTCGAGGCAGGACCGAACGTAACGCATTGGATAAATATTATATTATGGGTTATGGTCGCTAGTACATGCGTTGGTCAGTGCAAGACCCTGCGGTTCTGGATGCCGTCTGGGGCATCTCCTGGTCTGCCGTCGCAGCGCTTGATCCAGCTGTCGCGTTAGGCTTTCTTGCAATGGAAGCACGCGCAAGACGTAGCTGACTTGATGGTGAAATGCTTGGGGCCTCCAAAACACTCCATCTTTATCACGACCTGAAACCAGAGGCAATCACCTTTTGTCAAATTCACATGAAACCAAAAACGCTGCATGCATAGCAACAATAACTACAGTCGAATGAATCGGCCAACGTTCCACGAGGCATCTCAGAACTGAGATGCAGTCTAGGTTGCGTGGAAAACAGACGGGACGGATACAGAGGCGGCGAAACTATTCAGCGCTCAGTGTTATTGACCTGTGTCCTTTTTTATCCGAATAACTGCACACAGCGCTATCTCACTCTTCACTGAACATTCCAATGGTTCAAGCAAAAGCAATATTTGAAGTTTGCTTAACGAGACACAATACCAAAGCGCCCATGGCACCCAGTACGGCCTGAGAGGCTCAAGCACAATCTACTCCATGTACTAGGGATAAAAGGGCGAATAATATATCATCAGAAGTTGCACGGCTGACACTCGCGGATCTTATCCCCGTGACGTCTTCTTGTACGGAAATCCAAAGCAAAGAGGCAGCACCCTTCTGTCGCCGGGGCTGGCGCACACGTGCGGCTTCGGGTGCCTCACGTCTTTCGTCTCCATGATGTTGCAGCACTGTCCGATGGAGGTGAGCAGGTGGCGCGGGTTGAGGCTGCGCGTCTGCCAGCTGGACGGCTGGGCGTACGAGCCGCACGAGCCCGAGCACGCGTTGGCCGTCAGCTCCACGGGCGCGCAGCCCGACACCTGAACCCGTTGCGTGTGACCTGCCGGTCAGCGGTCACCGCTCAGCCCGACACCTGAACCCGTTGCGTGTGACCTGCCGGTCAGCGGTCACCGCTCAGCCCGACACCTGAACCCGTTGCGTGTGACCTGCCGGTCAGCGGTCACCGCTCAGCCCGACACCTGAACCCGTTGCGTTGACCTGCCGGTCAGCGGTCACCGCTCAGCCCGACACCTGAACCCGTTGCGTGTGACCTGCTGGTCAGCGGTCACCGCTCAGCCCGACACCTGAACACGTTGCGTGTGACCTGCCGGTCAGCGGTCACCGCTCAGCCCGACACCTGAACACGTTGCGTGTGACCTGCCGGTCAGCGGTCACCGCTCAGCCCGACACCTGAACACGTTGCGTGTGACCTGCCGGTCAGCGGTCACCGCTCAGCCCGACACCTGAACACGTTGCGTGTGACCTGCCGGTCAGCGGTCGCCGCTCAGCCCACGACAGTCAGGCAGCTGCGGGAGCCACGGCATGCTGAGGAATACCACCCGTCAAGCCGGGGGCCGTTGAACCATTAGCTTCGTGTTGATCGGTTAAACGACCTTCATGTGGATGTGTACGGTAGTCAAAGCCTCCAAGGACGAAGGCCAGAGCTGCGTACCGTTGCTTGCCGCGCGATGCAGACGCGGGGAGACGGGGGGCGCGAGGGCAGTTACACAGATACTGCAGGAGCAACTCTCTCTGTGTCGTTATCCCGGCTTGGGAGATATTTTTAAAGGATGAATGTGATGTGGGACTTACCGACAAGTTCACAGAGCGAGTTTGAGGACGGATGCAGTTGGTCTTGCGCCGCGCCGGGGCCGACTGTGTCGTCCGTGAGGAGGTCGGTGTTCTCCAGGGCGGCCTCCTCCTGCTCCGGCGACTCCCAGTCAGAGAGGTGGACTCCCAGCGAACTTGACACCAGTGAGAGCAGCAAGAGCGCAGCGCGTGCCGACAACATGGTCACTGGGGACAGGCAGCGAGGACACGGAGACCGCCTCAGTCACCGCCGGCTGTCGACGACGATGGTGCGCCGGGTCAACTGCAAGCAAGCAACACATCAGGCTCGTCTAAAGAGAATGTTTCACATTTAAAGCTATTGAAGAAAGCACCAAATATGATGAAATCAGGTCACTTATAGCTATCGGTATACTTTTTAAGCTGAAAACACTGCTCTAGACAGCACCATTCTCTGTTTGGTAAGCATGCTCCTCAATGCGTCATGGTTTGGTTACGCCATCGTACCTTGCACAACATTGATTGAGAGCCAATCGACGGCTGTCACATCTGGAAATCGCACTCACGAACGCCAGAAATGAACGACTCGACAGTTTTGTTTGACCTTGATCACCGCGTTGTTTATGAAATGGCGGGATTTGAATAACGTTATTATGACGTTACGAACGCCAAGGTGTCTTTGAAACGCTCTCCGCGATATATCTTTCCCCATTTTCGCGGGCGTATAGCTCAGCAACTAGACGGACTTAGGTCTTTAGCGGGGTCTTAAGTAGGATTGTGAACAGCCCCAAAATGTCTTCAAGATGGCTGTTTCAGTTTAAAACCCAATATAAATGTGGAACACTCCCTTTAACACCGCAGTAGTTATGTAAGCTCTGCGTTCGTAAGCAGCCCAGTGATGTAGCTGTTTGCTTCTTATGGTCCTACCCAGAATGAGCTTCATGAACTTTACCTACCTATCCGCACCGTTAATGGTGTGTCTGAAATGAATGTACTATAAAACTACCATCGTCTAAATGAAAACAACTGCCTTTTCGTCTAGAGCTCATTATATGTAATCATTTTGTGAATGTAAATTACCAGGCACCGGGTCGTACCCCATAAGTTTCTTCAAAACCCCAATGCAAAGAGATTTACCACCAGCTCTGAGCGATTTCATAGCGACACCCTTCGTCCAGGAGTTGAGGCTTTCAACGATCGGATATTTTTGTCAACGAGCGTAAACGGAGCTCACAAAATGAAGAAAAGCAGGAAGCCAAATCTCTCCAAAAACCTAGGCATTTCTTTTCATTGCGGCTTTCGGTTACTTCTTGGTGATTTGGGGGAGCTCTTTAGGAGCAGAAAGCAAAGGTACGCAGTAGGAGCGGGCAAGGCACCTCCATAAACGCAAAACTCCACTCATGAATTATGAGTCCATTCTTTTGCAGTAATCCATCTGTTATTCACAAAACACTCCCCTTCCCTCGAAAACTCTTCCCCACCTCGCGGCGCTACACTGCCCGAGACTGCTGGCTGTGGCTTAGAGCCCGGCTACCGGCCCTGGCGTGGCGCTCTTACCCGCTCGGGACGCGCCGGTGTCAGCTCGAGAAGCTCGGGACGGCACCAGCGACCTGCTCTCGGCGACCGCCCGGCGCGAGCTCTGAGGTCCCGACTCCCGGCCACGACCTCCTGATCTCGGCGCCGACTGCCGCGGCTCCCCTCAGGCACCGCTCGTGACGTCATTGGCTCACTTCCGGAGGCCACGCCCCCGCCGGCCCGCAGGCACCGCCCAGACCGGCCCACGAGACCATACGGTCGGAACGTGATGCCAAACTTGAATGGTGGGGTGCGATGGCTGTTGCGGGAATTATAACGGTCGTTTTGGTATGGTAGGTTCCACACAGCACACGGTGCGTACTGCGATCAGTCGAGCAAAGACGGCGCGAACCACGGCTGGGCGGAGGGGTCAAAAAAGAGTCAGGATGCGCGAATTGTAACGAACGATCACAGCAAGTGTCGCGGCCCGCTCGTCGCGTTCGTACAGCGGTCAAAGGACCTCACAGACGGATTAAGGTTCCTCAGATGGAGTGGGGAATAGGAGGAGGAAGAGTTTCGATCTCGTCGACGCCAGAAGACTTGTCTCTCTCCCCCCCCCCCCCCCGTGGGTGTACTATTTGAATCGAACGAGGCACAAAGGTGTTCATGTAATATTGCACTTTTGGTCGGCGAGTTTTACATCTGACAGTCAGAGTGGTTCAATTTCCTTCAAAACTCCATTGTCGCATGCTCAGAGAATCTTGCCTTTAACACTGACACATTGTTGTCGTTGTGGGTTATTTTCTGCACACCAAGTGGCGATAGGGTGGCAAAATGGTGCCGGGCTGATGGGACTATGCTGCGGTACAGCGACAGACAGGTGGAGCTGGCCGACAGGTCAGGTCTCCAACTGATGCCTGAAGACACCCGAATAGATGTTACCCGAATAGATATCTCGTCAAGGCAACTCTGAAAACATAGAAAACACAACCAGCAGACGAACAGAGAAGCCAGCCCATATCAGCGTTGCGTACAACACAAACCAGGGAGAAAATCAGCAGGAGAGAAATTTCGAGTTTAAAGTGACACACAACACCAAAAATACTCTGAGAGTAAGGCCGGCCGCGTAAAAGAGTAAAGCACGGCAGTATATCCTAGGCACAGCAATGGTGACGACGGACGGACAGGTGCGCAACAGGACATGCGAGTGTGGTGCAGCGTACACGGGGGAATAGGCCTGCCAAAAACAGCCATACTTGAAGAAAATGTCGCAGTGCACTGAAACATAGCGGACTGGAAACTTCGCCCGTGATGGAGCATTGGATTCAGCGCAGAAAAGCGTTCCACCAACCAAAAGCCAATACTTTAGGTGAAAAGCCCACCTGGTCTCGACACATCATTAGAGAAGCCATCGACATACTTTTGCCATCGGCATCACTAAATCAAGGTGTAGACAAAGCGTTACGCTGTGCATTGCGGGACAGCGCTTCCAACCGCGCTCGGGTATTCACCATCGTACTCATGATCAGCCATTGTGTATGTTTCAACCGTGTCATTGCCTATCGTTTGAATGTTCGGCCTGCCGACAAAATTCGTCAGTGACCACTGTCCAGATGTCATTGTCGCTGCCTGCCGTTTTCAATCTGCCGGTCTTTTGCCTTTTAATGTCTTGAAAAAGATGTCTATGACAGTCATGACGTAGTTCTATTCATTTTATTTGTTATTGTTGTTTGTGTTTGTTATATTGTTGCACACTTCGTCTAAAGTCCCTCGACATCGATATTTGTTCTCATTGTCAGGTATAAGGACAGCGAAATGTGCCGAAATATAGGCCGTTCACTCTCTAAATCTCTGGTATCCCGCTCGCTCCTAAACGCCAAGACATGTCCCCTTCTCGCACGCGCTGCCAGCGACACCGGCACGGGACCGACGTGGATCTTTGCCATGGATCACCACAAAGGTTGAACACACCCTAATTGGTATGCACAAGCAATCCATGCAGCCGTCTCTGCTGTGCCTCCTGGCGTAAGAGATGCGCACAGACAGATGTACGTGCAGGGAGATGGACGTACGCTATAAAAACAGCGAATCAGACAAGCGGCTCCCTCTTGCTTCGCTGCGAGAGGAGGCTCCACCGTTGGCTCCGATGGCGTTGCTGCCGCTTGCGTCAAGCTAAGTCCGATCGCAGTGATATGAAATGGATCTCATTTACTCTTTGTAAGCCGTTTAGCACTCACAGGCCAATCGTACCATTGCCCACACAACACTGTCCCACACGCCCAGGAAGATGAGCATATATCATTTAGCTGTGGTTCATGCTTGCTTCGCCGTGCGGGGAGATGGCGCCATTGACTCCGGTATGGCACTGCCCTCAGTCCTATAACATTGGCCCGCGTCCTTATCAGTGACTTGCTCAATTTGATAGCAGCGTGTCTTGCTTCTGTAATTTTTTTGCAGAGGGTTTGTGCCGGTCCCAATTGGCAGCACGCGTGGACGCAATATTCCTATCACCATGAGCCCGCCGTATGTGCAAAGTTCATGGCAAATCCACGCAGCCGTCAGTGCTATGCCTCTGGATAAAGAAATGCGAACAGAGACAGACAAACGGGCGCCTAGTTGGAAAGGCTTAAGACAATTTTGCGATAAAGATAGAGCGATTTTGCATCGCGAAGGCACGAGACATTACCTGACACCCCCACAGGGGCGGGCGAAATAGGGGAGTAGCACCCCCTCATATGCCAGCTCCGGTAACGGGTGGACAACGCAAGCTGTTCACTTGAGGGCGCAGCGAACCTGCCGGTGCGTGAGCTCCCGATCCTTGTCCGTCCCGCTCCCTCCCCAGTACCTGCATTCCCGCATCCGGCCCTCGCACCATTCCTCATCCTCGTTTTATCGGGGTCGCCGTACCCTCTCGTCCGCGACTGGTCGGATCCTGGGGGCTCAGGGGCGCATCGTGCGGGTCAGTCATGACGCTCCACTGAGACACTGCGACACTGAGATACTCGACTTTGGCCAGGATATCCGGGGGCGCAGGGAGCCCGTAGGACCCCACACGGGTCTAGCTGTTTGTCGCCCGCGCTGCGGCTGGGTGCTCCGAGCGGGTCCCTCTTGGGGCGCCTGGCCGCGCGCAGCGGCTTAAGGGGTCAAAGGGCGGCGGCACTGATTCACGTTCAGGACGGGGAGGAGTCTTCCCGGTTTCACCTGACCGTGCGGGAGGCGTCGTTTGCCCCGTACAGCACCGGGGTGGCCCTGGCCGCGACCACCTCAGGGAGTGTTGGGCCGTCCACCAGATGTGCTCCAAGGTGGGTGGTGAGCCCCGGTGCCGGAATAAAAACCACCTTTCATAACATCTTCTCACACTGAAAATACCCGTCCTCCGAAAGGGGGTCGGACCACGATAACCCTAGGGAGCAAAAAAGACCCTGCTCTTCGCGGACCACAGATGCTCATTGTCGGAAGTGATATTAGACTGGCCCCTGTCACCGTTTCAGAGACGAAATGGCTGCGACAGGCTTAGGAAAATTATCGGATGTGACAAGCTCCGGATAGACTTTGCAAGTGGTTTGGAGATGAGCCGGGCCTAGATGATCTAGATGGAAACAACTGAATTCACGTCCAGTGTTCGAGATGAGGCTGGCGAGCGTGAAAGAACAATGTCAATGTCAGCAACACGACGCAACACCAAAAATTCGTCCAAAAATTCGTTCAGTCCTGCGCGACGTCAACGAGAGGGAGAAAGTGTAGCAACTGTCGGAGTTTTGGTGTTTCCGCCACTCCCAGTACTCTTGTTAGAAGCGGAAGAGAGTTACTGCCCACCAACAACCTCGTACTCACGTTCAGCCGCCCTGACTTGCCGTTCACGATACGTGTAGGGTGAAGTGAAATGCCGCCAGTTCGTGCCCAACCCCATGCGGTGCTATCAGTGCCAGTGATTTGATCACGCCAAACCCAACTGTAGGAACCGCGCAGCGTGTGGTAAATGTGCATCTCTTGAGGACACGGGCAAAGTTTGCACTTCTGATAAATCCCACTTTGTCGGCTGCGGCGGGGACCAGGTTTCGTGTCCGACGCGCTAGGGTCTGAGGACCAGGTTTCGTGTCCGACATACGTCTGCGCATGCCCAGCCTACGCTGAGAAGAGGGAAATCAAATCGGTTAAAACTTCTAAAAACATGTCCTTCCGTGAGGCTAGAGAACTTTATCACGAAACCCATCAAAAAATATATTACGCATCAAAAGTAAAAGCGGCAACTGTGATCAAGGAAATAACGGCTGTTCAGTTTCTGGGACTTCTGAGGTCATTGGACCTATCAGTTGTACCCTTAGCACGCGCGCTGGACCCCAAGCTCCCTCCCCACCAACCGAGCAGTCGGTGGCCGCCGTGCTGCCGGTCTCTCCGGCACCGGTTGATCGCCAACGACTGACGGTTGGACGGCGGTTCGGCGCGGCCACAGCCCTAGCGCGACGTTGGACATTCCGCCCTCTGAGACTCCACCAGCCTCATCACCGCAGACACCCCTCGCCAGTGCTTGTGAGCGTATGGCAGAGACGCTGGAGCACCAGGAAACTGACTGGCGCGCCCGCGAGGCCAAGCGGGCGCGTCTTATTGAGCAGGAGGGACGAAGGTGATTAACCGGCTATCGGGGGCGGACCAGGGACTCGCTCCCGCGGCGGAAGACGGTGCACTGCCCAGACGACGTGTCGAGGCCCCTGCGAGATCCTACGGGGTGCGAAGACACCCGATGGATCCTCCTCCGGCGCTACCATCTAGGGTCACGGCCTCGCCGGCGCCGTCCTCGTCTAGAGCGGGGCGCCCAGATAAGCGTGGCCCTCCCAGGCCCACGGCGCCCACAGACGGCGGCCTCCGTATTCGGCCCAGGGCGCGGCCGGCGTCGGTGTGCTCGGACCCCGGTGGGCCCCTGAGCCCCGCAGCTGAACAGTCTGGGCCTGCTGCCGCCGGCGTCGGTGTGCTCGGACCCCGGTGGGCCCCTGAGCCCCGCAGCTGAACAGTCTGGGCCTGCTGCCGCCGGCGTCGGTGTGCTCGGACCCCGGTGGGCCCCTGAGCCCCGCAGCTGAACAGTCTGGGCCTGCTGCCGCCGGCGTC